GCTTTATTTTTTTTTTTTTAAAGAGTGAATGCCATTGGGGCTGGGGTTATGGCTCAGTGGTAGAGTGCTTGCCTAGCATGTGTGAGGCACTGGGTTCCATCCCCAGCACCACATAAAAATAAATAAACAAAATAATGATATTAAAAAAAATGACACCATGTTTAAAAAAAAAGAGTGAATGCCATTGTATATTACTTTTTTCCCCTGGTTAATGCACAATTTTAGAACTCAAAAAAATTATATTAAGTTAGAACATTCAGAAGAAAGTACAAAAATAAGTTTATTAGATCTTAATATAGTTTCACAGAGTGAAGATTAAAGTGCTACAATTTTTAAAATTTAATTTTTTGTGATTACTATGACATATTAATTGTACAAATTAATGGGATTCACTATCATGTTTTCAGAGATCTTTTATTGATCAGGTCCATCCATCCTCCTTCTAACTGTCCCTTTCTCCACCCCAACATGTACTCCTCTCAGTCCTTAGTAATCCATCTTCTTTCAGGTAATTTTTTTTTCCTAATTTCCACATATGAGAGAGAACATGTGGTATTTGTCTTTCTGTGTCCGGCTTATTTAATGGCTATTTAGCTATATCCCCAGTCCTCCCATTCAATCCATTTCTTTGCAAATGATAGGATTTCATTTTTCTTTATGGTTGAATAATATTCCTTTGTGTGTGTGTGTGTGTGTATATATATATTTGTATATACACACAAAGGAATATATGTATATATGTGTATATATATATACACACACATACACTGTGTTTTCTTCATCTATTCATCTGTTAAACAGGCATCTAGGCTGGTTCCATATGTTGACTGTTGTGAATAGTACTGCTAAAAACATGGGCATGCAGGAATTTCTTTTGAATGCTGACTTCATTTCTTTTGGATATATACCCAAGAATGGGATAGCTAGAGCATATGGTAATTTTCATTTTAGTTTTTTGAGGAAACTGTGTCCTGTTTTCTATAGTAGTTGTCCTAATTTCCATTTCTTCCAGTCCGTATATTAGCATTCCATTTTCTCCACATCCTTGCCAGCATTTAAAAAATTTTTGGTAATAGCCATTTTAAATGGCTAAGATGAAATTCCTTCCTTCCTTCCTTCCTTCCTTCCTTCCTTCCTTCCTTCCTTCCTTCCT